TCGAGGCTCGGGAGTCATGATCTGTGTAAAGCACCACAACTCGGGATGCTTGGGATATAGTGATCTGGGGGTGGCGGGAATGCCCAAGGGCTCTGTTCGATCATATCCTGGTTGATGTGTTGACCGCGTTTTGTCATGTTGGGAGCATTTATATCAAAAGTCAGCTAGCGCTTTTTTCAAAGTTTTATTATGAGAATTTTGCTTGTTTATTAGCTAGCGGGTGGATGATTAATTCTGTATGAGTGATACTATAGACGTTGATCATTACCAAAACATAGAAAATGAGGCGTGCAAATCTTGGAGTTGCTTGTTGGCTAGCGTATTTTAGCAGAGTTATGGACATAAAAGTGAAGCAGTCAGACTGGTTGATTCGTGACTTGACTCGTATCTGAAAACACACCGTAATAATGGCGTATGATTACCAACTAATTGGACGGTATCCCAACTTACCTGTCCAGGTTATATACTGGCTATTCCTATAAGAGATACCCTCATTCACAACCTACTATGTTCATACACCTCTCCTCTTTCCTCTCCCTTCCCTCTCCCCACCCAAGCGCTACTTGAATACCCTGCAGCAAATAGTACTGGAGACCAAATCTATTTTCACATTTATCTATCTCCTACACATATATATAACCCATCACATAATCATCATCATCATACAAGCGAGAGTGTAACCAGCGACCAGCACTTAAACAATCACCTTATGACCAGCAGGCTTCTCCTCCTCCTCACCGAAGATGTCGATATCCCAGCGAGGCGTGTTAGCAACGTAAGGAGTGTTGTAGCGTCTGCGGTCCTTGCCCAGCTCGGACACCTTGGCGATTTCCTCGGGAGTGAGCTCCACCTCCTTGAAGTTCTCCTGGATGCGGGACGGCGTCACCGACTTGGGGATGACACTGTGGCCGCCGACCTGGGACCAGGCCAGGATGACCTGAGCAGGGGTGACGGTGGTGCCGAGGCGCTTGGAGGCGGACTCGGCGACTTCCTTGACTTCGGGGCGGGTGACGAGGAGGGGGACGCCGAAGCCGTTGTTGCCGAAGGCCTGTTCATTATGTTAGTATAGCTGTTAATGAAGGGAGTAGAGGTAGGGGTCTTACAGAGTAGGCGGTCACGTGGATGCCCTTCTTCTGGCAGTATTCGATGAGCTCGTTGCTCTGGAGAACGGGGTGGCGCTCGATCTGGTTGACGGCGGGGACGACGCCAGTGGCGTTGATGATGGCCTCGAGCTGCGGGGGATTAGCCATGTGTCAATTCAGTGGTATATAAAGCGACTTACGTGAGGGATCATGTGGTTGGAGACACCGACGGTGCGGGCCTTGCTCTTGGGGAGCTGGGTCATGGCCTTCCAGGTGTCGACGATGGAGATGTTGTCGTTGATCACGACATCACCGCCCTCAACGGAGCTGTCCTTGACGAGGGGGAACAACTCGGAGCCGGTGGTGAAGGAAACGGGCCAGTGGACGAGGTAGAGCTGGAAGATATTAGAAATTGTCGGTGGGAATGAGCTGACAGGGTACGCACATCGAGGTAGTCGAGCTCGAGCTCAGCAAGGCACTCGTCCAGAGCCTTCTCAACAACGGCGGGGTCGTGCTGGGAGTTCCACAGCTTGGAGGTCTGCTCGGGTTAGTATACTCTTGAGGCGTAGTATGTATGGAATATGCTTACGATGAAGATGTCCTCACGCTTGAGGCCAGGGACGTCCTTGTAGGCTCTCTTGATGCCCTCAGCAACCTCGCGCTGGTTCTGGTAGCTGCTTGGATTAGCTTGTGTGATCGAGTCGATATGTGAAATGGGACCTACATAGTAGCCAGATCCTAGATCGTGTTAGTGACTGGTTGCTGACTGACTAAATAATCCAGGACATGCGCGACTTACCAAGTGGCGGTAGCCGGCCTTCAAGGCCTCGTAGACGGCATCACCGACCTGACCGGGGGCAGACTGCCAGGTACCAAATCCCAGCTGGCTAATTGGGGGTCAGCAATTGGCGATCGCGCAAGCGTAGACGGAAAATACATACGGGATCTGAGCACCGGAGTTGAGAGTAACCTTCTTTCCGAGAGACATTGTGTAAGAGGATATGGTTCAGGAGGAACAGGGAGATAGGAGGAGAGATGGAAGGAGAGAAGGTAAAGACTGAAGGGAGAAGAGGAGGGCGAGCGCGATAGAAATAGGGAGCGCTTCCAGACGGCCGAGGTCCTCCGGTGGGGGTCACATCCATGCCTCTAGTCCATCGTCGAAGTCGATGGAGGAGGTGCCGCGACGATGAGTGGCTGTTGATGCTTTACGAGGGGTCAGTTTTACCCCGCCAGCAGTAACTGGGACCCCTCGGTGGGGCGTGCGTGGGATGTTCCCATTCCCATTCCATTCATTCTTCTAAGATACTTTCTCGGTCTGTCGGTTAATTCCGACCACGACCAGAGAAACAATGGACAGGCACATCATCTATTTCCCGAGAATTGAAGGTGCATGGGATTGCCCATGGCCATATTGCTTCCAGATACTGAATGGAGCCGTGTACTCCTTCAGCAGACAGTGCAAGACCGCGAGCAGAAGATGATGATGTCAGGCGGCAGACATTCCTCCGAATTCTCCTCCCCGCCAAAACACGTTGCCTCTTTGGGAGCCCCTGCGGATATTTTTCCACCAATCACTACCTGGATTATGCCTTACTCATCTGCTATTACTAACATCGTTTGCCAGGTACATGATCGAAGGGCATTGGAGTTTCAGTTTCCATCAATTCACATCTCGTTTCGAAAAGTGCCATGGTTTACGGTCGGTTTGGAATCTGGAACATCTCGCTTACGTATTTTCTCCTCTATCATCTGCATCTCAGCGGGGTTAAACTTCCCCAAATTACCCCCAAGTCACCCCCCAAATCATCCGCATCAACCCGCTTCCCGCACGGATAATTGCCTCGTTCAGGAGTCCAATCAACCGCTCGGCTTCCTCGCCGACCTCCCCCGGCTAATTTCTGAGACGTACCGCGCTTCCAACTTCCTGTTCGGTTGAATGGGAAATTCTAACCACGGTCCATGTCTCAAGCTGGATGCTGATCACAGCTGCTGGAAGGGCATACGGACAGCCTGGGTAGATTCAATGCCACATCACTGCTGCCATAGTCGCATGTTTGAACAAACAACCAATAGACTATCATGTTGTGCCTCCATATTAACCTTCCGCTATAGAGTCTTGCTAGTTGAGTGATGCAGCTGAGCGAGCATGTCTAACGCCTTAGTGCTGGGAGGACAGCACATACATCTGGATCGTATCAATCGTGCAACCAATTTATCCGCAACACTATCTACAATACCACCAATCCCGTCTTGGTCCGACATCCGTCAGGGACGACCCATGGGCCGAGCTGTGCGTACGGGGCCTAATCTATGCTTAACGCTGAGGCTTGAAATCTAATCCTGACGTGGCTGCTCTGGTCTGCCGGCTGTCAGGTGCCGCTGTGCTTGCTGCAAGTGGGTGGACTCTGAAGAAGATATGGATGGGTACTTATAGTTCGCAATGCGTCGTCGAATTGAGCATTCTTCTTCGCTCTTAACTTGCTTAGTGGGTGGAAGTATCATCTACATCGAAGCCAATATAGCCCTGCTCTAACTGTGCCGGGTATGGTAGATCACTTCTCCATATCTCCGTCCACGCTCGAGAACGGCTGGAACTGGCCCACCTTTCATTCAGCGGGAGAAATAACAGTCATTATACGTACACCATTGCTGGATGGTCCACACCTGTCATGTTGTACCACCACGTGGCTTAATCATGTTTCTATTTAGGGGCATGTGGGTAAGTAGCTTATATTGAATCTCTTGCAAGATTGCAACCGTTATCTAGTACTGGTGGCAGTGGCGCTTCATAAACTAGGTTAAAGAAGCTAGCACATCTTCGTGAATTTCTGAAATGGAAGTTCGATCAGTGCTGGCTGGCATCCGATACAATGAAGTATGAAAATGAAGCCCCCTGATCATCAACCGCTTAATATGTAAAGTTGTCAGGACTCAGGAAGCATACTTCCCCTGAACCTAATTCGATTTGAAGATCACGTCGACAGACGCGCGTACTGCATAAAGCCGGAGGATATAAGCAGTGGTGGCTCAGGGCGGCTGCACGAAATCATGTATATATTCGCCGGTCATCAACGATGCGATCCACCAGATGCCGTTCGACAGCTGCGTGGCATCTGCTGCGATATACCGACATCTGCATGCGTCCGGATGGGCCCGAGACGGCGGAAATGACCCGTCAAGCATCATTTGGTCGTAGGCCTTATAGGGTGACGTACTCCGTGACGAGTGGCTTCTTGGCCCTGCAACAAGAAAGGCAGAACAGCTGACTCCAAATCAAACCGGCAGCTGTATAACGAGTAAGCACCTACCTATGGATCTTGTTTCCCTCACCGTCCGTTATTGCACGCGACTCAACCCTTTTTCCTGCCACTCTCTCCGCGACCGTTCTCGGGTTTTGTTCCACCTCCAGATTTCACACTCCAGGTGTTATCTGCAAGTAACGTGGCCTAGCTCCGAACGGGGCATGGCTGGACAGCACTAAGGATGGATCCGTCACTAGCGGTTCTTGGGCCGGGGACAGGCGACCAATGGGGGCGGGGAGACCTCCACCACCAGGAACATCGCGACTCCACCAAGGTTACACTCGACTTCAGATCCTGACGATTAAATGGCCGGAGAAGGGCCAGACTAGCCCGGATGAGGCTAGAGGCGTCGCCAGCTGCCCCTTACTGCGTATTGTGTGAGGCCATGGCGTCCGGCCTGGACCCACCCGAGGGGGCCCTTTTTGGCTTTTCGGCTGGCTGGCCATCCATTTTCCTTTCCCTGAGAGTTACCCTTTCTTTTCCCGTCGCTTGAGGCTGACTCTCACTCTCACTCTCAACTTCACTTCACCTTCAACTTCTTCCATTTCTTCTCTCGTTTAGCTGCGCGCAACATGGCTGATGACGCGACTTAATTTTCGTCTCATGTCTTGATCTGTGACTGCCTCCTTGTTTCCATTCCTCCCCCCCTTTTTTTGCGCCTCCCTCTCCCCTCTTGCTTCCCGGTTTATATTGCTCTTCCGTCCCGTCGCCTCCCCCTCTCCGTGAGGCCCATCCCCAATGTCCAAGAGGCGGCTATTTCGTTGGCCTGCCCGCCGCACTGCCGGCCTGGGATGTCTTGCTCTCCTTGTCACCTCCATGGTATCTTGGTATCTTTACGGTACACGGCCCTATGAACCCCAACCAGGTATCTATACTTCTCTCTGCAGCTCACGTGGTCCGTGTGCATCATCACCGACATCATGCTGACCCGACCTTGTCTCATCAGCTCACCAAGAAACTCCCAATAACGACCACGACATCGTGACGTCCCAACTGGCCCAACTCACCGGTACCTACAGCAATGCGACAAACGACATTGGCTTGGTATTAGCTGCGACCGTGAAAGAGGACCTCACCTGGCTCCTCAACTACTGCAAAGACCAGTACGACCCATCTAGCCACTAGGCGATAATATACTGACATAAACCTTCCCTAGCGGTTCAATTCCCTTTATCTACACGACCGATCAGCCCCCTGCCCCCCACCTTCTTGTTCCACGCACCATCCGTGGTCGCGAAGCCGCCGCATACCTTTCCTTCGTCGTCGACTTCTACCACCAACTTCCGAAGTATACCATCTTCATCCACTCGAACCTCGACCAATGGCATAATGACCTCTTCGGTCCCCATACCAGCCCCGCGCTGAAGAACCTCCGACTTGAGGCCGTCGACGCGCAGGGTTATGTGAACCTTCGGTGCGAGCACGACCCGGGATGTCCCACGAGCGTGCACCCCTGGAGCCCGACACAGATCGATATCGAGAAGGACGACATCCGCGCGTTTTTCCCGGAAGTGTACGAGACGATATTGGGCGTACCGGCTGAGAAGGTGCCCGAACACATCGGAAACGTGTGCTGCGGACAGTTCGCCGTCAGCCGCGAACGGATACTGGAACGGCCACGTGAGGACTACGAGCGTATGCTGAAGTGGGCAGATGAGACGGAGCTGACGGATAGTTTCGGCGTGGGATGGGTGTATGAGAAGATCTGGCATATCATTTTCGGGATGGATGTGATATAGTAAGTTTGCCTCCCACTCGGTGGGGAGAAATGCTAACGGGTATAGTTGCCCCCGGTACGAGCAATGCCGGTGCGACACGTACGGATGGTGTGGACCATTGGCGTCGGGTGAGACACTGCAGGCAGTGCGAGCGAAGAAGTCATAATCTAATGGATGATTGTTAATGCATGATGTATACTATCATGATTGGGGATATCAGGTTGCATTTGGTTTGGTTTTCTTTGTTATGATTCGTGATCTAATGTACAGTTAGATATTCTTATCTTCGTGAATCTTTTTTGAAACTATTGACCCGCTCAGGTATATACATTGGACATGCAAATCATAGACTGCAGCGCATGCTACTCATGATGAATAGGTTGTTGATGCATTCCTCGCACGGGCCCTGCATCTAGCTCAAATGTCGGCCGTTGTACTGGACTTCCGGGCGCCTCATGCACGTCACCACTATCCAGCAACGGCACATCTGTCTCCGACGGTCGCCTCCGGGGGATCGGATGCAGGAACAACGATCGTCCATCCGCATCATTCGGCGGCGACGCAGACGAGCGATCACCTGGGACCAACGCAGCAGGGAGGGGCGGAGACGTCGACATGGACACCATAGATTCCCTATTCATCTCGTTCGATGGCGGTGGCGGCGAAATCGGTTTCCGGGGAATGGCACTAAGCGCATTGACCGAGTCACTATTCTGCCTCAGAACGGCAGGATTCGGCACTCCAGTGACAGGCTTCTCATCACCAGCTGAAGATTCTTCGTCTCGATTACTACTACCACCGCCACCACGAAGACCGACCCCGACAGGCGTATACATCATCTGGCTTTGATCATCATTCCGTCTTCTGCGCCGTTTTCGCTGTTTCCGATACATCATCCACACACCAACAAGGATGAGAAGGACGAGTACAATCACAGCAATGGCAATACCGGCTTTGGCGCCCGCACTGAGTCCGCTGCTGGAACTGTCGGTGCAGGTGTACGCGCCTTGAAAGGCGCCGTTGTTATTGTTGTTGTTATTGTCGCGGCGACGGCGAGTATTGTTATCGTCGTCATCGTCATCATCACCATCACGAAGAGAATTGAGACTCGAGCATCGAAATGATCCGCCATGGGAGTGAATAGTTGTCTGTCCTTTGACCTTATCGAGGTCCTCAAATTTGATCCTGTCCCAACCGTTAAATGAATATCCTCCCCACGAAGGAAAGGAATTGGGAGACCCACTCATTAAAACTCCCCTCCAAGATCAAGGCCCCATCGACATTCTTCAAATCCGGGAATACAATATCCCTTAACTTGCTATTCCCTTCTATATCAATCTCCCCCGGAACCTTTTCCAAATCCGGAAACGACAAATTCGTCAAGTCATCATTCCCGGAAATATAGATCTTCCCGTTCACTTTCTGTAAATCCGAAGCCGAGAAAGACGTCAACCCGGATACATCCTGGATGGTAATCCCACCATTAATGGTCTCGACATTGGAGAGCGAGATACTGCCTGTCGCGGAAGTGGAGATAGTCAGGGTGCCGGAGAGGGTATCGCAGGAGGAGAGCGAGTCGGCGTCAGATTGGGAGGATATTGTTGAGGTGGAGGAGCCTATGCATCACCACATCATCATCCACTCGTTAGTTGCCTGGGGCTTCCATGAAAAGAAGGGTTAGAGATACAACTCACAATTAGAGTTATCATCACCCGCTACGAGCGGTACATGTGCATGCAGGAGTAATCCCAGGAAGAGGAGCGAATAGCGCGTATAGGAATTGATGTGGCTTTGAGTGGGTATCATATCATCTGAACGCAGCACCGTTGGGTGCTATACACACCACCAGTGCACCAAATTGTCAAGGAAAAAGAAAGAAGAAAGTACAATGAAACCAGGTATATCCTCGTAACTTCGGAACTTTAACTAGCAGTAACAACCATAAACTCGTAAAGTGGGTAGGTTAGTAGTATGTTGGATAGGGTATCAATACATCATTCGACACATGGACGCATAAACACGAGTGTGAGCAGTAGGCAGTAGTAACTCGAGGGTGAGGCTGTGTGGGGGGGAGGTGGTGGTGAGGTTGAAAGAAAAAGGAAGAATAACTTAGTAGACTAGGCTACTACCGAAAAGACGGGGATAGGTGCGGAATAAGTAATACCGTGGACAGCAGCAGCAGTACTTAATTAGTGCTATGTGGTAAAGTTGGTGGTAGTGTAGCCATGCATGCAGAGACCATGCAGATTGGAACGGACGGCACACGCACGGGTCGGCACTATTTGAGACAGAGTCTGTGGAGATAGCTAGCTAGCTAACTAACTGACTAGTATAGATGGGTGAGATGTTATGGTTCTTACTTAATAGTGTGTGTATTTAGATTCTGTTTAAGAGTCAGGGGGGAAATGGAATGGGATATTATTAGTTTTGGTTTTGGTTTAGTCTCCGATAGTTTAGGTGGTTGGAGGTGAGGTGAGGTGAGGAGTGTAGGCAGATAGATATCTTAATCACTAGTGTTGTTTTGGGGAGGAGGGACTAATTATGTACTGGTGGTAGTGGTATCTCCGATGCAAGTAGTAGCATCTCGGATGATCAGTTAATTAGCTAGCTAGATGGATAGATAGGTGGTTGTTGTTTCAGCTGTTGTGTGAGGGATAGTAGTACTGCATTCATTCCTCAGGTAATGATAAGTTACACAACAAGGCATTGATCATGATTCCATGTAATCTAGGCAGTAAAAAGCAATTCCATGATGCGCAACTATCCCAAGGAAAGAAAGAAAAAAAAGGCGACCAAGCAAGGAAGGGAAAAAAATCAAGAAAACTCCGAGTCTCCAAATCTCAACAACAACACTGCCCCGTTCATTAATCCTGACCCACAAACGACACCAAGAAAAAAATCAAGCACAAAGCAGCATACTAGTAATGTGGACTGACCGATCACCACCATCATCTCATAACTTAGCCATACCATACCATATCATATCATATCATATTATTAACATTCGATGTGACACTCATCATACCGTTAGTTCAGGTTAGTTATTGGCACCGTGCATAGTGCACACCGCATAACCACAACCACGACTACTACAACCACATCCCTGATTGATTAATGTGTCAATCCAATCCAATCAATAACCGTCACATTGAACCCTGATTTACTGACTGACTGACTATCTTACTAAAAATAGTTTTCATCCATCACAATCACAATCATTCAGGCACCAGAATTTCCAGTGACGAGAAATTGAAGCAAAAACCCTAGAGGGGGCCCCATGTTGATTGATTGGAAGCGAGAGAAAGTGGATGGCGGGTCGGAAAATCCCCGCTTTTGTGTTTGTTGTTGTTCAGGCAGAAGAGATTCGGGATGCCCGATTGGGTAGTGATGTCCGATTACTACCATTTTCAAACGTTTGGTTTAGTAGCTGGGTGGGAGGTCGGTAAATAAAATGTGGTGGTTGTATGGATTTGTTTTATGATTGATTTTATCATGTTATCTATGAATTGGTTATTATTGTACGAGTGGTAGAATAATGGTAGAACAGGTTGTGATGGTCGTCGGAGATGGATGGTAGCCAAGACACACACACGGGTCACACCCGCATCTGATAAAGTGCCGAGAAGCTTAGGGATGGTAGTATCTAGTCATGGCATGAGGGGAAGGGATCTGTGGTGGTCATGTAGGTACACATTCCAAGTTACTATGGAAGGCCCTGCAGGCAACTCAATTAATGACTTGCCGGCGGATCGTCTCTCCTCGCGATGGCGGATGATTTTTCAACCAATTATTTATAGCATAATAGCAGTGGATAATTGAGACAATGAGGTAAAGTATTGGTATATGATTTGCAGGATATTTCCACTATCCTGTAGCCATGCGATTCAGTTTGGACCCCATACTTAGGCAACCCTGATACTCCATACCCTAACTCCATACTACGTATGTGGACCATCAATCCCATCGATCCATCTCGGCCAACTCTCCCCACTGAACCTCAAGCTCCCGGATCATCCAGTCGGTGCGCCACCCAACCGCCTTTTCCACCCGGCGGAGAAATTTCAAGGACCCTTGTTTCTCGGAGGGGTGGCGGAGGCAGTAGCCATCTGTTACTAGAATTAGTACTTGGCCCGAATGACGAATATTATACTCACATCGATGTAATAAGTGGCACGCCATAAAGTATGCGTTCTCTACAGTCTCATTCGACATGGAAAGTCCTATCGTCCGCACGAGATGGGATGCTATGGTTCTCTGTGGCCAGTTAGCATGGCACACCACAGTCAGACTAAAACATACCTCTTCGGTTCGTCTCAACCGCGCCAGCTCATAGTCGCTCGATACATTCCAATGTCGATGGGACGAAGTAAGAAGGATACACGATGCATGGTAGTATTGTAAACCGACGACTACATTGTCAGCGATAGCTACACATCAGATGCTGGTACGTACCCGCTGGCGGAGACATCATCCACAACTCAGGGAACGGTCGATTCTCTGCGAGATCTGAATCTTTGTACTGTAACGGCTGCCAGCTGATAGGCCGCGCACGATGCCACTGTTCCACGCTTTCGGACAGATGCTGCCACTCGCCCTCATCGACAAAGCTGCAATGCGATCCCCAACAGGATTGGATAATCTTCGCACACAAGAATATAATAATATTGGCATACGAAGCATCGTCGCGGCGCCGAAATACGGATGAGAGCTCGTAGTTGGCTAGGTCTAGCTGCATCGGCTGATGTTGTACCAATGAAGCATAGATGGCCTGGCGGAGGAATTGCCAGCTCACTGCTTCGGCGAGACCGCCAGAAGAGGCAGACTTAGACATCGTGTTGAGTAGTCTGTTTGAACCCACCCAGTGACATTTTTCATCGGTTGCACGCTCGAGCTCTTCATATATCCGGAGGGTCACCACAGTGATAAGGAGGTTATCGTCATATGTTTCTTCCGGCAGGGCTAGAGCAGCAATGAGCAGCTCCAGACACTGTCCGTGATATTCGGAGGCCTCCCAGTCGCTAGAATTGGACATGATCGCATCGTGTCGAGCTGCAAGGCAAAGCACGGCCTTCAGCACCATCGGGACTTGCAGGGCTCGACGAGGGACTTCGGTGCTGAAATGGGAGCGAAGATCGCATATGTCGGCCTGATAACAATATTAGACCTATAAGTATATATTACAAGGAGGGGCATTACCCATGGTGCGATCTTCTGAATGAACAGTCGTAGTAGATGGGCTTCACGGGAACTCAACGGCGGTGAGCTGCTCGGACGGGGACTCACCGAGCTCAGCGGTGACGCCGAGCTTGTCCATGTACTCGCAGACGCCAGGGGCGAGACAATATTCAAAAGAGAGGGAGATAAGCCTGAAGAGGATGCAACGATCGGGGGGTCCTCGAAGACAGGGGACCCTACAGGGGGACTCGAGGCCACATGTGAAGGGCGGATATTGTCATCTTGGGAATAGAGGACTTCAGGAAAGGGCAAATGATTAAAAATGGATATTTGATCGGAGATATCTCTCTGAGCCTCATCAGAAGCAGCCTGATTATCATCATGGCTCTCTTGGACATCAGGTTGAGCATCGGTGGTGTTGCCCTCGTCCGAGTCATCAGACGATTCCTGCACAAACTTTACTATACAACCAATCAGCATGCTAAGAGATTCACAAACAACCAACAGGGTATATTCCAGCGTACATGACTGGGGAAGATTAACCCATGTCTGGCGCGAATCCCAGGCTAACTCAAACTTAGAGGCTATGCCATTACTCTTCTGGTATACATGTCGGACGGCTTTGAAACGAAACGGCGGATCCAAGCGACAGACACGTCCCAGACGAGTACAGGCATTACAAGCCGAGGCGCCCGCGCGAGTGGTGCATCGAATATGACGAACCCGACAACGTTCACATCCTCGTCCGATTCTCATGGCAGGCTGTGGGGCAAAGGGCCCTTAGCGTTCAGCGCTGCGGGGAAAGGACAACAAACGGACAGGGACATCGGCGGGCTAAGGAGATTCATCCAGCCTACTGGACAGGAGGATGAGATTGACGGCGAGTGTGGCCTGATGGGGGAGGGATGGGATGAGAGCACGACAGAGGAGAGGAGGACGGGTTTGGCTGCGAGGTGAAATGGCAGCTCGTCGGCTATTGATTTGCTGCCAATGCGGAGAGACTCTCACCCCGCGGGCCTGGGGCCAGCAATTGCCGGTTTGGGTCTAGTGCTGTCTTCCCCGCATTGTGCCTGTAGCTGACTCAGATTGTATATTACTGCTGCTGATTGGCGGAGATAGATCCTTATGGTGGGTATGATTATACGGGGTGGTGATGATGGGATAGCGATGGTGTTTGTAATAGGATGATGTCATATTCAGAATCTAGAAAAGCGTGATTCTATATCAAGCACAGCTAAACGACGCCGCATCGTTCGGATCCCCGCCAACATAGGTAAAGATCTTCGGATAAGGACAAAGATACGCCGTTCGAGTCGAGCTGCTGTTCGAGCCAGCCACCGCCACGGCAGTGGCTTCCAGGGTGTCAGGCACCGTTGAATTCTCAACCCACGCTCTGAGAGTTTCGAACACATAATCATTGGGGTCGAATCCATTACCCCCCTCGCAATGTTCCACTCCAGGTGCCAGAAAGAAACGGTAGTAGTCTGCGACGCTGGGGTCCAGTTCCATCACCCGACTGTAATAGTCCACCGTACCGTTGGTCGGGATCAACTCGTCCTGCATTCCGTGCCAAGAGATCATCTTTCCTCCTGCAAGTTTAAATTCTGTCAAGTCCAGATTGCGCGTTCCAATAACCGAAGCATATTGGTCAACCGATTCGCGGTAGAGATCGTCAAAGTCTTGTCGTGTCAGGCCTTGGATACTGAAGGATGAGTTTCTGGCCAAGAAAATCCGGGCCCAGTCGGCGCTGATACTAAAAGGTGTCACAGTACAGTTATCGACTGACGTGCAGGTTGTAGTAAGGAGGGCTGTTAGATCGGCATCATAACCCAGCCCGTACCACTCGAACTGATCTTCAAGTGATCTTGGGCCATCCCACATGCCTTGGACTAGCTCAGCCATTTTGTCCGTAATGGCAATTTGTCCATCCGGATCGCTACAATTTACTGTCTGACCGACAATCGACGATGCTTCGAAATGGCATTGGCCCGGAAGAGAAATTATATCGTCCTTCACTCCGTCCAGCAAGTCACAGGCGTCAATGGCAGCATCCGTAAATGCATCGAGGAGACATGCAGGCGGCTGCGTATCTGTCAGGTATTGATTAGCACGGATCCCTAGTTGAGGCATTGGTAGTCAACACACCAAGAAGTTGCGCCAGAAAAGCAGGCCAGAATTCAGCCAGCTGAAATTTGTCCCAATTGATAGCCGGGGAGCCTCCTACAATACCATCAAAGTAAGTCGGGAATCTCTGGGCCATCATATGCCCCTGTCGACCACCAGTGGAACATCCATTCCAGTACGAGTACTTGGGCGGCGAACCAAAGTAGATCTCCGTAGCCAGCTTTCCCAGTACAGCTGCCTCGCCTAGTGCCACGCTGGAGAAATCCCACAGCGCCGGCCAGTTGGTATTACCTTCACTCACAAAGCCCCAGTCTGCCGTCGAGGCTGTACTATTATGCCCTCCATCGGTCGAGGAGGATGAGTATCCGGAAGCAACAGGAGCGATGATTTCGTCAAGCCCTCCAGCTACCCAGCCACCACCCCCGTCCATCAGAAACCGTGAGTTCCAGTTGCTGTCATTGAGAGGGAGTCCGATATAGGTATTGACAATGTCGTTCTGGCCAGGATGCGTGTACTGCAAGGACACGATGCAGATGTCCACTGTCGACGGCATTTGGCCTACGGGGGCTGAGGTGGTCCCACTGGATAGTGAAGCACCGGTGGCATAGTTGCGCGCAGCGGTTACATTAAGCGAAAGTATATCGATGTTGCTCAAGTTGAGAGATGAGAATGTTCCTTCAGTGCAGGGGCTTGAAGCTGCACCAACCCCAAATAGAGATAATATTGACATGGAAGCCCACGGCATGGAGCGGAGAGCCATGTTGAACAATTTGATGCGTTGACAGTGTCTGCTAGATTCCAATTTCTCAGTATGACGGGGTGTGACAGGTAGGAGAACTACAGACCAGAATCCGCAAAAACTGCTGCCGCCTGTTGCCCATTACGTCGGATGCCAGCTACAGACCGATTTATAGGACGAAGACTGCATCCGCCTGCTGGTCTCATTAACAACCTCGACTGTATCTGAGAAGATGATCTTCCTTCGGGAAAGATTAACGGCAATCATAAACCTCCACCCGCAAGTTCACGGGCTCCGTAGCCAAGTCCAGATGACCTGGAAGGACCAAGGGCCCCAAAAGCCGACCGACAATGACCATACAGAGATCAGCAATTCTATTAATCCTTCCTTCCAATGTATTCGTGGTATTAGCCAAAAGGCGGAGTATTTCCGGCTCCAAAGATAATGGGAGGAGACTTTTGGTAAAAGTCCAGACGCTATAGGGTCGGATGAAGAATTCGGCATTGACTAGCGTGGTCCTTGCGCATGCAAAAGCAGTGTTTGCAGATATCTTCAACCGCCCTCCGCATTTCGCGTGACTGGATTGTGGGGTTGATAGTATCCCCGGGCGGGGAGACTCAGGTGGACGGGAGAATGTGAGGGGTATCCTGGAGACGACTCAACCATTAGTTATGCTATTGTCACCAAGGAAGAAAATGTAGCTTATATTCCACGTACCAAACAGACGCGATAGAATAACATTCGAGTCTCATAATCCTTCACGAGGGAAGGATTGGAGTGCATTTGATGGTGTATCCGTAGCTGTTGATTTCGGTCGGAGAGAATCCACTCCAGCATTTCATCAGATGTTAGGTGATTAAGACTACCCACTTTGCCTATATAGGATAGTGCCAGCCTTCTGCATGAGTCTTTTTAAGCATAGGCAGACATATTTAGTCAAGGGAATGTTAGTCAAGAATCTCACGAAAGATGATTTTCGGGAATTGCTCTGTAGGCCATACATGCGGCCAAAGGTCTATCAGAGTCATTATCAAGGCTGCTAACCACGGAGAATAATGTAGAAGCCCCATTTCATGGTAAGACAGTCCTTGGCATAGCTCCCAATATCAGCTCTAAATTACTCTATTACGTAAGGAAGCGACAGTTGCAGGTGTCAGTCAAGACTGCACAAATCCCTGTATAGACTACAAATCCTTGTCTACTTTGCATTAGTGCTGAAAGCCGTGCTGTCACCAGAATTTATTAAGAATTCTTCGGCGGGGTTATTTCTAAAGAAGTACATATCCTTTGAATGTTCTTCTTCTTCATCAGGTGGAAACTATCTCTTAGGACTCTTGATGAGTTCAGGTCCATTCGCGCGGGGTTCTCTATCACAGGAGCAAACGCCTTCCAGCGAAACATCTATGATACTTGAGAAAGTAGAAATAAAACACCCTTAAATATGCTAGCTGTCGGTATGAATCACATAACACTGTTCTTCGATTAAGTGGTGTGACCCTTTTGCTAGATCGTGTAGTATGCCTAATTGAAGCCCCCGGGACTCCCTTCTATGTACATTGGTCTGTAAAATTAAGTATACATCTCAGCTAGGCCAATTCATAACGGATCGTCTTCGTCGATTTCAGCTCCTGTGGCGGCAGCTCCTGGGGCGGTTGTTCCATCGCAGTGTCAGTGTCCATCTCCGGGAAGTTGTAGGAGGCAGCACCCTGCGGAAGCTCCGCAACCTCTCGTGGCTCGAGCTCCGCGGCCTGGTAACCGCCTTTGGAGTCAGTGGCCATATTCTTTTCCGGTGTTACTTCTGCTCCACTTTCAGCTTGCTTCCTCTTCTTGCGGAGGATTAGAAAGGCTACAGCAGCGATCATAGCAGCGCCAGCAACGGATCCGACCGCAATGCCAGCAATGTCCCCGCCAGAGAGCCCACCTGAGCTTCCACCACTTCCGGCGTCCGTGCTTGTTCCGTTGGTGCTTGTCCCCGTGGTGCTTGAGCTACTGGAGTTTCGCGCCATTAACAAGTTTGCTGTGAAAGCATTCACAGCGCTCATCGAACTGAAGAAGTTGGGATCCTTATCGTATGTCGATTTAGTCCAATCAGAACCACAGACAGTGCCGTTACTCATGCCGCTGCATTGCTTCGCAACGGCCTTTGCAGTGTTTTGGAGAAGGGGCTCAATCGTGTCCACGGTTTCTGGCATGAGGTGTGTCACCACCGCAAGGCAGGATGCCAAGAGGCCCTTCAAGGCGTACGCAGTATCATCGTCCCAAGTCGAACCCGAGAATCCTGCGTCAGGGCTCATCTCCATCCCAAGTTCTTGTATCACACCATCGTCAACAAACATGTTCATGATGGTATTTAACATCCCTTTTGCCCTTTTCTCCCAAGTAGCTGCGCCGGTCTGTTTTGAGCACCCAGAATTAGCCATACTTTTCTCACACATGATGGGGAAACCTCTCCAAGCCTACCACATTATACATGTATGCTGCCGCGCTCATGTACAGGCCGTAGATATATGTGTATTCCCCGTTATTCGTTGCCATCGCCGTGCAGTTCCCTGAGGCGGTCGTATTCGTCACCAGGTAATTGATGGTCCAATTTGACTCCACCACCATATCGTTATCCACGCACCAATCCCAAATCTTAACTGCATCAGCTACATAAGATGATTGATTATCACCCGTGGTGAGATATGCTAGTCGTGCAGACAACTGCAGGAACTCTCCGTTGCTTAGGGCGTCTTTCATCGACTTGTTCGTCTCTTCTATAACAACGTTGGAAATTTCAAGGCCACCGTCGCATATATTCGAAAATGCGAAGGTACTACTCAAGGTCCCCTGAGCCTGACCTGCATAAAACAGCCAAGACTCCTTGGAGGAATCGGCCGGGAAGTCCATCTCAGCCGCCGTTACAGCACCCAGCGCCCAAGCCGCATGGTTCATGTTGGTATCGTTGTCAGATTCTGCCCACGAATCTCCGAGCTCCAGTCCTGCCATACTATACATGCGCTTGCTGATGAGTTCATTGTAGGTGTCGTTTCCAGTAAGATTCCAAAACGGAATCAGAGTCGAGTAGAGCCACGCCTCCACGGTGGATGAGTTAAATATCCACTCATTAGCATCACCGTACACCGGATTGACGTTGCCGCTGAGAGATGAGTTGGTAAGCGTATTCTGAACTGTCACTGTTGCGGCATCTTTGATCGATTCTGAATGTCGTGCAAAAGAGGGTTGGTCAGCTCATCGATCCCATTCACGGTGATCCAGTCGAGGGGGGCCTTACGCGTGCTGTTAATTTCCAGATCCAGCGCTGACACTGTAGCGGAAAACCCTAGAAGCAGACTTGTCCAAGCCTGATTCCATGCTGGGCGCAACATGACTCCCAAAAGTGATAGTTAATGCACAGCGGGTTGGATAAACACGGAAAGAGGCAGTGAGGACACCCGGAATAGGAGCGAAGTCCGAGCATTTAAGCCTCGAGGGAAGCAGATTTTCAAACTAGCAATGCCTGCCCTGGCCAGTTTAAGAGGGAAACAGATTCGATTGGCGGGACATGCTAAAGCAACTTGGGCGCAGTAACGAGACACCACCGCATGCGACGATATTTAGCCGGTCCACTAGAGCGTGTTCCGTGACTCCAAGACTCTCAATGTTTTTGGATCTGTTCATTTAGTACTTAGTCTCGGCTTCAACGGCTTCTGTATGGCTGACCCCATCTGTTGGTCGGAAAGACCCCGGTGATTAGTTTAGCCCGATGGGGATCGGACAAGGATTGTGGACAAAGAATCGGCTCACACTAACTCATTAGCACAAACTCGGCGATGTGCGAGAAGCGCGAGATTGACCCTCAATGAAAGAGCCCTTGTTGGCCAATTGCCTCTGTGAAGTCTCGAGCATCATTTTGCCCCTGTCAAAATGATTAATCAGTACGTGGAGTGCTAAACAAACGCTATGAGACCAGTGAATGTGGCAGATTTTCATTAAGTCTAAGTGGAAAGAGATAGAGGGAATAAGGAACTATCCGCCTCACCCACGGGACTAGTCTACTAGCGAGGTGACTATACAAGAGTGGTAATTTCCCACCCCTGCTAGACTTTCCCCACCGCGGCCCCAAAGCCGGGGTTTCACACAAAACCAGTGGTGAACCTAAATGAAGCTAAGGCCTGATCCTAGTCAAGTCTTGACACCGGCCATTGCTGATCCGTCTCATCCTCTACCCGATCAGCTCAGCGTCTTGCTTTCTAGGGAGTAGTCCTCCGTACCAGCGCTCTTTTAGGACCTGATTCGGTGGGATCGCGACTCAGCTGTGACTTTTTGGTCCACCCCTTCGCTAAGCATGCGCTATTTGTGCTGTCAGGACGCCATTCCGATCAGCCCCGCGACTGTGTTGTCCGGCGGATGTTCCTTGCTTGCCCGGAGATAAGGCGATTCATGTCGGATGCTACCCTGGCATTTTCTTGGCACAATCCAGCCGCTTTACGATCGTCTCAGAGGCCGATGGACTCAGGTGCCCTGTATGGAGTAGTCAAAGGTCCGTGGTCACCAATGTATGCAGTGATAAGCAAGGATCTATATATATACCATCATGTGAGCCGCAAATAGTAGTGTGTAAGGCTGCGGATAAGCCACAGGATGCACCGCCACTATAGTGGCTGACTCGTTTGCGCTCTTTGGGCAACAAGGCTGTTTGTTGGGCTGCAGCCACTATTTTGCCAGACTAGAGCTGATGAGGGGAGCTGAGCTGAGTCTGGCCCAGATTCGACATATCTTTTATTTGACTGGCGAATCTAAATCTGCTTATTCATTGCACTACATACGCTTTTGTATCATATACCCCAGTTGGCTGCTCGTAGATACAGGATAATTTGCATCATCTAAACGGAAGAGTAGAATCTATGCCCACCTATTAGCTCATTTTCCATAGAGAGGAAAATGTAGGAATATGTGATATTGAGCATAAATAGTTTGTATCTAGATTTACTACACCAGCGGATGCTTTCTCTCAATTCTACCCTGCAACTTCAGACCATGATATATAATCACTGGTCCCTTTGATATATCAACTACTAGTTAGTCGTAGTTCATAATTGGTAACATCACTCGCAAGTTAAGTATTGGCTAGTTAGTCGGGAGTATCTAGTAAGTCGAAAGCTTACTCAGTAAGTAGTTTGCTTCGGTTAACCTCGGCTTAGTTAGCAATCACCAGAAGCAGGCTGCTTATCACCGTCACCAGGCTGTGCCTCCTGCACATGACCGTGTTCTCAGCGACGCAGCTCCGTTCCCTGCTCACCACCACAGTATCTCCTTTACTTACCACACTCGCACTAAAGCATGCCATTTCCATGTCGTCCAACTCCTGCAATCAAACCAGATGAGTAGTCCTCAACCCGGCTCCGAATTCTGGAGAGCCACTGGAGCTATCAAGGATGACCTGGAGAATCATACTAAGCGGCGATATGAGGTTACCAACCGGTTCGTTACTTATCAGGATTTGGTCAAGATCTTGCAGAAGGAGGGTCGTATCCACAAGGTACTCTATACCGACTGCCTCACCACTGAGGATCTGCACAACATCCAACACAACTTCATTGTCATCCTTACCACTCTCGTATCGATCGGTGCCACACATTGCTTAGCAAACTTTCGGAGTCTATTCCTGACTGGAAGTATCACCGATAAGGATCTTCCGCTAGAGCGAGAGCAAATCGAGACATTCCTCCCAGGTCATTCAGAGCTAGTCGACCAATTCGAATACCACCAATACGACTTCTGCCCAACAGTGATCTCTTGCACAAGGCCCTTACATTGTGTTCCTTCGAAGAGTCGACTACCATTCGAGAAAAAACCTGAAAATCTAGGCATTGGGGGCTTTGGCGAAGTTGACTTGGTGACTATAACGCCGGGGTACTGGGAATTTGATAGAGACTGTACCAACAGCTCCGCCTATAAAGTTGCCTGCAAGAAGTTCAGCTTGGGCTTCAAAGAAGCCTTTCTCAAGGAATATAAGAATCTCACAATTCTGAAGGAGAGTCTTACAACACAGAGTCACATTTTGCAGCATTACACAGCGGTGGACCACGATCAACACAGTTACTATATTCTCTTCCCGTATGCCGAGCACGGAGACTTGCACCAATTTCTACATGGTGGGGCAGGGAGTTATGAGCTTCACAATCAATTTCCTCGCCTACCGGTTGAAGGCGATCCAGCTATATTCAAGCCACTGCTGCACCAATGCTGGGCTCTGGCGTGCGCTATTGAGTGGTTGCATGACTATATCCAGGTTGATGGCGAGCACATCATGTGTGCACATTTGGACCTCAAACCGGAAAATATCCTAATCAGGAATGATGCAAGCTCTGTTGTGGGAAAGTGGATGATATCTGACTTTGGTATCTCCGTGCTTGAACCTCAGAAGCTTGATTCCAGCCGTCCACTCAGTGTGCGAGGCTGTTACCGGGAACCGACAATTGAAGTGAACCCTCACGGGGGAAGAGGAACCTATCGCCCACCGGAAGCTATTAACCGAATAGGATCAAGGGCCATGACCAACAAGATAGGTCGGCGAAGTGATATCTGGGCCTATGGATGCATTTTCACTGAAGTACTTGCCTGGGCGATCGGACGACGCGAAGGTGTTGAATATTTAGCTGGGGAAAGGCGAATAGGGATAACTAATGACTTTTTCTGGGATGAACACTTTGGTCAAAGCTTGTCGCCTCAAGCGACAGGTTTCAAAGTACGAGATTCGGTTGTCCGATGGCTTGACCACATTCAAACTTCTCCTGAGAAAGTAGTAGGTGAATGGGTCAAGACAATCAAAGACATCCTCATCATCGACAAGGAGAGCAGGCCCAAAGCGCAGAAGCTTGTTACATATGTTACGAGTGTGTACAAACCAGGCGATGTGCCTCGAGATCCCGATTCGCAGCCCATCAGATCCCCAGTCGAGCCCTCATCCAGGCAGTCACCCAGTTCATTATCTAATCAGTCTCACAGTCGATCAAACAGTCGATCCAGTGAGCCATCCAGTCCGCCATATAATCCACCATACAGTCAACCATCAAGTCCGGCATCCAGTCCGCCTTCCAGTCCGCCGTTTAGTCTGTTATCCAATCGAATGCCAAACCATCGAGAACTTCCCAGAGGGTCAGGCTTACAGGCGCCGAGCAAGCCACTGCCGCATGGCAAGAAAAATTGCATTGACACCTATCTGTCGCGGACGAGTTGCCAAGGCAAGGTCCCAATAGCAGTAGTGTCAAATGACAAAGTCGAAGTACTCAGTTTGGACCTTTCGCAAAGAGAGATCAGAGAGGTCCAATTTCTAGCACTTTTCGGAAAGTTAGGAAATGCCGAGGTTGTCATCGAAGGTCAGTACCTCGCAGTTTGGGGGTTCTGTAAGGAGGAGGGGGAAAGGATGGTAAGTTTCCCTGTAGTGCTTACGGAGTTATACTAACGGAAGTAAGCTTCATATTGGAGAGGTTAATTCAGGCTTTTCTCAAAGCCTACCCAATACCATAGAAACTGAGAAAGTAATATCGGTCGCCGTATCTCCGCGTGGTCTGTTCGCTCTAGTCCAGGACAACAAATTATTGCTACTCTCCTGGACATCCCTATCGTCATCAGATATGCAGCGCATACTGAAATTGCCCGACTTGGAACAAATATTCACGCAAGCTATATTCAACGCTAGGGGTGACTTCTTGTTTGCGTGGGCAAGGAGCTCAAAGAAAGAGTCTCTGTACGTCTGGAAAATTGAAGGGTTGGCTGATGAACCAGATTTCGCTGTTCACTATTCTCTGGTAGGCTATACTACAGCCACCCGCCTCACATGATGCATCACTGAACAAATATAAAGCAGCATCGGTTCCACTGGAATACTTCTGTTATGCCAAACAGTTCTGGTCGAGGGTGTGTCCTTGCAGATGACCAGAATAGGTACCTTGCTGTTACCCTGAATCAGCAGCGTAGTGAATCGCACGGCATTGAACCAGAGCGCATCGAGCGCCCGTTCGATACTTTGAATGTGACGGTCAGCTGTATGGTTGGCGATGAATATCTGCTCGGATTAGTTAAGAGCGGTCATCTAATCACGACGCGTTTATATCTACACCGCTTTGAGATCACTCGCCGAGAAAATCAAACGCATGCCTCCATTTCCCAGGGCCGCGAAGTTCTGGAAATTCCGAAGAGCTTCAAGCTGGCCAGCAAAGTACGGGCCTATGAGCAGCAGGGGGTAGTAACGGTGGTATTATGGAACGAGACCAGCTTATTCATATCTGATCTACCTCCCAGTGATAGAAATCATTGAGGCATCATATTTACCCTTTACTTCATTCAAAGAGCAACGACTACCAAATCTAGATTCCATCTCACTCATTTGCGAACTCCTTCCCAACCTGCATCTCCGGTTTACTCACGTCGCGCTTCCCCGGACGCTCAAAAAAGCGGAACGGCTTCCTTTTCCACCAAGCATCGAACCATACAATCAACACATATATCAACCCTGTGACCAGGGTCAGCGGCAGCCAGGTGGCGAGAAATACCCAGAAGTCCTTGGCAATGACAATCTGGCGTGAATCCTCATCGAAGACGAAGAAATTCATTCCATATAGGCTTACGATGAAAGAGCCTGGTAAGTAGATTGCCGACACGAATGTGATTACTTTGACTGCGGCGCTATCATCCAAGTTGTCCTCCTGCAAGCGCTTTAGGCTGCTGGTCAAATCGCGCAGTTCACGGTCGACTCTCGCTGTTTCAAGCTGATTGTGAAGCGAAAGCGTATAGCCGGCCTATGTAGCGTTAGCATAGCCTGTCCTTCGATTGACGACTTATGGGATTTGGAAGCCAACCAGATCAATCGCGTTCCTCATCCTTGGGATTAGCTCTTCACAGCTCTTTATGTAGCCCTCGAGCGCTAATGATAGTGTTTCGCACCCCGGGAGAGCTTGTCTCGTGGATTCCGTTGCCCTTCTACCCAATGAAGAGGCAATGACGGGTTTCAGGGCTCTAACTAGGTCCAAATTGCCACGACAGCAGACATGTGCGCGCAGGGCGAAGTCATTCAAATTGCGAAGCTCTGAAACTGTTTTATAGCTCTCTCTGGGAGTGGACTCATCAGGTAAGTCCACCAGAGCTCTGTTATTCTGATTTAGTAAGACTTGTTAGCCCAATAGTCATTCTGCTATCATGAAAGTCCGACCCAGGGAGGTAAGATGGTCAGAGCCTCGCTAAGGAATTGTGAAGCGTACAAAATCTTCGAACTGATCTCCGAGATATCGAAGATACCATCTCCAGTTGCAAATGAAGGAGGAGAGAACTAGCGAATGAACCAGTATTGATTGGTTCCTGGCTTCATTTTGGCTTAGGCCTGCTTGCATTCTTGGCTCTTCAAAGATTCCAAGCCCATCTAGAATCCTTTCATCCGGGACACTAGTCTCATTCGGATGAAGGAGAATGAAAAAATCGTATCCTCTCTGATGCTCATTTGATTGGTGACGATGATGGTACACCCCAGTGTGGCGCCATGACCAAGGTATCAGCCTGCGTTTAGTCTTTTCAACATAGTTGAGCTGATATGAAACATCTGCTCGCCTCATGTTACCGTTTGATCTCTTGATATCATAAATATGGAAAACAATCAAGACTCACAGGCGTCGTTCTCGCGCTCGTCCACACATAGAAGGCTGTTCCCTGCTTCTGAAATATGAACATTTCTCCCAAAAGAGAGCAGCACTTGGATAAAAGACGGATGGACGGCATATCGCTCTAGCAGAAGGGCCATAAACAGCGGAGTAATCTTGAGCGGGAGGATGGAGGCGGAGGAGTAGATGGACCTATTTGATCCCAATGTTGATTAGCACCTTATTCATACCGGTGGCCATTGACTAGGGCAAGGCATGCATACAAGATCCTTATATTCAACCCATCCGGTATGGCCGACTCTGTAGTGAAAAAGCCTTGAAGCGATTCCAAGTCCCTGTGGAGTTTTGTTGCACGATGATCTTGCGAGACATGGGGCGTGAGTTCGTATGCTTCCACAGAGGGGCTTCAACGGTACCCACCATCGTAGACATCCGTTACTCGGACGTGAATTTCATTTCTGCGTGTCAATACCCGTGGGACTCCGTTTAGCAAGTGGTTCTCAAGGTCAGCGAGATTGACCGAAGAAGGGTCGTGGTGAGCGGGAAGTTGCTGCAGGTAAGGGCGCCATATTTGGAGCGGGTCATCGTCCACCGTCATTGTATTTTCTTTCCTCGTTCCCTTTTTCTCACTTCTTCACCCCCCCAATTTTGGCTAGCTCGAGAGGACAATAAACTTGGTTTTATATTGAAAGCTATTCGGAAACCAGTATCTGTTTTGCGAGTCTCTCGGTCTTCAGGGCCACAATGCCTTCAGAATTTTACGGGTAAGCCTTGCCGACCAGCGTTCAGCAAGGCTGAGGGATGGGACCAAATATCCCGGACATGTATGCACAGCGCCTCGGTCAGATCGATTGGCAGTCATCAACGGACAAGGTTGACTATCTAGGACTAGTCCTCTAGCAAACACCGGCATAGCCTGTCTGCGCCACGGCCACTGTCCATCAGGACACATCCTCGCCTCCTCATCGCGTGTTCCTTGACTTGCCACCTTGTTACAGTCGCCCGAGCTGATACATTAGGACCAGCCATCCTATCCATACGGATGACCTGCTTTATAATTCGCGGCCAGTTGTTCTCTTGCGCGGCTCCTCAGTTCCACTACCATGTCCCTACAGCGTCAGGTGGTTCAGGTCAGCCGGGCGTCAGCGGATTGATGCTAGAGCACGTACTCCAGTTCTTCCTGTTGGCCAAAGGTTAGTCCCCACCTTCTTCTCATGGGCTCATAAGATGCACTGCCATGACATACCTTAGTAAATCTTATGCTAGCCCAAATCAGCCATCGGCCATTGCGAAACTGTGGGTTCAAGTGTCATCGGCGTCAGCCAGTCTGTCCCCTTGTATGTCAGGCTTGATGGTCGGCTGTGAGACCTACCTCCACATTCGTCTGGACCTGGTTCTCAAATCGCTCCTTCACATAACTTTCTATTTCCTCGGCCATCTCGATGTAGGATGATACGTCTGGGGTAAGGTCGTGCCGGTATGGGAGGCTGGAAGAAGCCATAGGGATGAGGGATACCTGACCGTGATCGCAAGGTTCTGAGCGCCGTTCCCATGAGCTTCCAATTTCAGCCCCGAGCGTGAATTATATATATGTATTTGGGATCGGGTCCTCGTGTACGATTACTAGCACTCAATTGTTCTGTTACCACTACAGAGTGCCATGCACGCCAAAAGGAGGCTCTTCAGGTCTGTCTACGTGCCACAAGAGCACTGAGGGAGGGAGCAAAAAGCAATCAAAGGCAGCCTTCTCTCCCCGCTCGGTGTTGGCACGTTCGGCGAGGCTGCGAGTGTGTTCTTATCACCAGCCAATCAGCCATTGGGAGACACCATGCGAGGCTCTAGAGTAAGTTATTCCGAGTCGAGGTTAGTCTGATCCTTCGATAGCCCCGATTCGTGTGAGATCCTCCCCCGTTCCCCGATTGCCTCGTAATCTCCCCCATCCAAGCGATGCACCCTACACTTCGGCGGACGCACCGATTTAGGTTTCTTACCCATAATGCATGTCCATCTTCACAACTGCCACCTAAATGCTCCGCTTATTCCTTTGTTCGTATCTTCCTTTCTAAATGTCCAAACTCAGCGCACAGTGTACGACCCTGAGTGGGCGGTGCCATAGTAGCCTAGCACAATGACGACTCAAGTGGACACTTCAGAGAAGCTTAAGTATGTAAAAATTCCGAAACTTTGACAATATGCTGACGGGTGTAGACAGGAGCTCTTTGGGTTTCAGATCTTTGTATGCATGATGCCTCAGTTGGCTTGGTCGTTGCTAACGTGGCCCAGTTCATCACGCTCAGTGTTGTCATCGGAAGTGGCATTTTCACCAACAATGGAATGGCCCTCGCCATTGCGGGGCCCATGGGCTTGATTGTTGCGGTCCTCATCATCAGCATAGTGATTCTAGCAGTTAACGAATGTATTGCGGAGTTGACTCAGCAATTTCCGGTCTACAATTCGATCGTTGAATATGTTCGCACATTCGTCGACGAGGATCTTGGCTGGGTTATTGGACTGGCTTATTGGTAATAGCTTTCGATTCGGCACAAAGCACCATTTGCAGCTAATAGGGAAATAGGTATGCATATGCCGCAACATTTGCCAGCCAAACCTCTATGGCTGCGACTCTCCTAGAGTATTGGGGCCTGCCAATCGCGTGGAGAGTTCTTATTTGCTATGTTTTTGTTCCAGCCATTCTTTTTCTTCTCAACATGACTGGAGTTTTTGTGGGTTGTCTCGTCGCATTGATGGATACATGGCTAATAGAATCTCAGTGGTACGGTGTCGTGGAAACCATTGGTGGTTTCCTAAAGCTGGTGATGATTGTGGCAATCTCGATCTATCTCTACACAATTGCGGACAATGGTGAGTGGCAGTCCCACATTGCACAATTCTATAATCGTTACTATTATTGAGTTACCAGCATAAACTTACCTATTGCAGTCTCTTCGCCCAGCTTTGAACATGGACAAAGTTATAGCAGTAATGGCCAAGCCCAGTGGTCAGCTCGCCACTCCCTCATCTATTAATCTGGCATGCTAACATGATATCAGCTATGCTATTCCGCTCACGGCATACGCTTTCCAGGGCATCGAAGTATACGCCATGACTGCGTATGAAGCTCGAGACGGTCATGCACTTCGTTGGCCGGCTCGTTGGACTGCGTACGCGGCGGTAGTCGTGTACATCATGTGCACGTTGGGGGAGGTTATCAACGTGAAGTGGAATGACTCTGCCCTACCGCAGCTCCATGATGGAGTTTCAAACAGCACGTTATCGGCTACTTCCAACCCTGGTTCGTCGAGTAGCATGATCATAATAGCGGCGCTGAATGCCAATAACCGGTCAATGGCTGGATTCCTCAACGGTTGTTTACTCTTCAGTGTCTTTTCTGCCGCTAACACTTCACTGTACGTTGCTTCCCGAACCTTATGGGGTATGGCCAAGCACTTTCCCGCATCTTCCAAGGGTCAAGAAGTATGGATCAAGAGGAAGCTAGCGATTCTAAGTGAGGGCACCAAGGTTCCAGTTGTATCCTTGCTGGTGTCACTGCTAGCATTCTGCTGGGTCCCGTTTCTACAGCTCGCGCATAGCTCTGCAGTACAGCAGGTGTGTAGGTGTGATACATTTGCTCTGTTTATCTGCTAATGGAGCCAGGTGGTCCAAGTTATATCTATCTCGTCCAGCACCGCTATAATGATCGTATGGGCAGCTATCTGTCTCGCATTCCTTCGCTACTATTATTGGTTCGTGTGTCTGCTCAATATGCAACTAGTGTTGAGGTACTCATTGCTGGCGCAGGCTGAAAAAATGCGAACCCCGACTTCGGTACCACGACCGTCCTCAATACATCCGACTGCATGAAAAATACACTCCTAGAGGCAGTCTTCTTATTCTCCAACCACTTCAGGCCTGGATAGGACTAATTGGGTGTATCACCATTTTTGCATTTTCCAGCGCGACATGGTGGAATGAGGAGGCAACCGTCACCGAAGTTGCCATGGCGTACGGGCCGGTAAGCCAGCGCAACAGCTAAGCACATCTACTCATTCTAATCAAGTTCCGATAGCATATGGTCCTCTTACTTATTTTCATAATCTCGAAAGCGTTCAGTAAAAACAAGGGGTGGGTCAAACTGACAAACGACGAGTGGGTCCTGCGGAAAGCTTTGGATAGACTATGGGTTCGCAAGATCGATCATCATGAGGAAACCGCCACAAAGCGCCTGCGCAGTGTTATGGCTTCGCTGCTTCCACAGCCTTGGGTAAAATTCATTAATGGGCAGAACAACCAGCAAGCGAATGGTAACGTTCATCATCGGAGTGAGAGTTCCACGTCTGTGGAGACCAACAGCCAAGAGTTGCTTACTCTTTCGAATGATCAGCCTGTATGAGCCCCGACTTTGAACTTATGTCTTTTGTTATCGTATGCATTGAACACTTATGATTTACGTCTGAAACGGAGGAATAATAATTACGGGATTATGTATGCTACTAGTTGGATCTATTGTGAAAGTTATCACCGTAAAACAACACGCTGTGCCTGGATGCCATGATCATATCCCACCATTCCAATAGCTCGCTCACACATGAGCATGATATGACAGTAGAGCAAACTCCATTAGCAACATGGTATGAACGCATATTAAGCAATTCACTCCAAACAACCAAACAAGCACATTATAGACTATAGAATCGGCGCTGGGGAATAGCACATATTCGCAGGTTCTCGCCTTGATTCAATGCTTGCAATGCAGGCAATAGTAAACGTAGTGATCTACGCCGATGAAAGACTGACTCGTGAATTTACTGATGCATGCACCATTGCTCTTCACCGAGCAGTTCTAATATATAAAAGAGATCTTCTTAGCGTTTGATTTTCATTTCTTTCTCTTCTCTACATCTTCTCTACATCATCTCCTCCAATATAAGATGACCGGTTGAGTCAAAGTGGCCTTTACTTGCGCGAATTCTATCTATCTTTCTCGGCATATACACTCCAAGCCCTCATATCTTCTTTACAATATCTCCTCCAATATAGGATGACCGGTTGCCTCAATTGGTCATGGTTGCGAGTTTTATCTATCTTCTTCTATCTTCCTCAGCGTGGATACTCACAACCTTTACTGAGGTATCAAGACCAAGCAACCTTTGAAGAATCACGCGTCCTGACACGCGGCGCTGTTGATATATTGGCGCCTCTCAAAGAAGAAAACGTTTAATATATCTATAAGATACAACTCCAGATAGACGCTCCAGTCACTTGCAATGCAAGACGGCGTGGTGGCGCCATTCGTCATGACTTGGTATGTCAAAGCTCCTGGATATGGATAGAAAGACGACCAAACAGACCAATAGCAATGCAATGCCATTACTCAAGGACATGTTGGCGCTTACACTACTGGGGTGTAAACGGATTCGCGCTGGATATCAGAGCGCATCAGAAATTCGACTTGGTAAACAGTCATTTTCACGCGTGCTTACCAGCGCCTTCCATGTGTACAATGGTCGTCGACTGAGATACAGAGGCGCATTGCGGAAGAGAGGAAAGACGATTATATCATCCATTCTTTCTCTCAGATTCCGCTTCAGAAGCACCGAAATGTGGCTCGGGGCTCTCCTTGCGACTCCACGGGGGAGTATAGCCGTCGACTGTCTCTATCTGAGTTGAAGGTCACAGAACTATAATAATAGAGTCATTTATGCGTCCAAAAGAATGAAGAAGCATCACTCTACAAGTGAGAAGAAGATCGTTCTTCTCATACCTCAGCATCCGAACTCGAGTGGGCAATTGAAAATACGTGCTTGAACCTAAGGCATAGCGGAGCGGCAGTCTTGCTATCGTACCAATGATTGAACGATAGAGGAGCAACACAAAAGGAATAGGGTTCTTCATCGATTAAACACGGGTATGTAATGAATACACATTATGACGTCGCATTCAATGTACCGCTGCTGCCTGGGATGTTCTTCTCCTGCTTGCTCCTTCTTCCTTTGCCTCCTACTCCGTCTCCTCGCCTAACACAACCTCAGTCCCTCGACCGTCTTCACCATCACCATGTCATCCAACACCTCTTCAGTGGAACCGTCTTTTGGTTTCCGTATTACTGGTCTGGGCACTGTGGTCTTGACAATTCGCCTTTTCTCTGAACTTCTTAGGATACCTCCGTCCAAATTCGAAACTCACATTGTGACCAACACCGAGACTGTTCAAAAGACTCTGCTTGAATCCGACAGGTTGATGCAATTGATCAAACACGGGGCAATTCCGGTTTTCCCTCTTGACTTCGGCCTTCCTAATCCTCGCAATCCTCAAGATAATAAACACCTGGAATTGCTTGCTCCGGTATCATCTCTATGATAATTACGATATTCCAAGCCGCTTGGATCCTACCATAAATCCAGACAGTATACAACGCACCCTCCAGCCAACTATCCTTGATACAACATACCACAGAACAATCCCTGAGCCCACTATCACCAGGCCACAAGGCCAGTACCTTGC